ATATTTTATCTGAATTTAAAATAATTTTTGATTATATTATTTATTTTTTTTGTTTTATTTAATTTTTAGTTTCTTTTTAACAAATAAACATGTTGATATCAGTTTTTCCATAATGCTGTTGCTTTTGGTAGATAAGGGAGTTTTTTGATGAGCTTGTTTCTTATGGCCTGCGAGCATTAGGGGTATGTTGCGCATCCTTAGTTATTTATGAAAAAGCTCTGTCGAAAGCTTTCGCAGGACATCCCTAACGGCACTTTAGCTTATTGCCAAACCAGCTGCTTTATTCCACCAGCAAATCAGCTGTTCGAATGCCAAAAGCTTGTGAGATGAAAAATATTCGTGAAAAGCTAGTTGAAAAGGAATCGGAAATAAAAACAAATGCAAGAAAATCTTAAATAAAATGTATTTCCTCTGCGAAAAACTAAAAGTGAATACGAGTCGCGCCTGTGAGATTCCAATGATAAATGGCCAATAGAGTTGCAAGCGTTGAGCTCAGAGATACTCAAGGCTAAGCCGCTGGGCAGCCAATCAAACAATTATCGCAGGAAACTGGACACAGGACTCACAGCATCATGAAGATATTTAGATTGCGCTCCGTGAAGCTGGTGCTAATTGGCTTCATCATAGTCAACTTGGTGTTCTTCTATTACACCTGGAACTCGTTCCTCTGGCGGCGCATTAGCCGCGCTCTGACGGGCGAAGCCACCGACACAAAGCCAAAGAGCGAGGCGGTCCACGGGCCGAAGATCTCGCCGAAGGACAAGGCACGCAATGCCAACAAGCACATAAGGAAGTCCATAACAATTGTCTTCTACGGGCACTACAACTTCGAGCAGGATCTGCGGCCCAGCATCGAGAGGTGAGTGAAGCTCAGACTAGATACAGCTTATCCATATTCACCCTTGACTCTCTCTCTTTCTCTCTTAGCATATTGGATGTCGTGCCGAATATGCCCATTCTGGTGCTGCAGGAGGGCGCCGCCGAGTACGCCTATCCGCCGGTCAGCTTTGAGCGCAATCTGACCAGCGGCGAGGAGCAGACGGTGCACTTCATGAGTCTGGCCTTCGACGTGCGTCGCACGCGTGAGCAACTGAATCCCCTCTCGGCTGTGCACACCAAATATGCTCTGCTGATGCCGGACAGCGTGCGGCTGAGCAGCAAGAATCTGCTGCAGAAAATCCTGCGGGAGATGAACACAAAGTCGGGCAAAGCACCGGCTCAGCGTGTCACAGTTGCGCCGGATGAGCAAGTGCGTCGCCTGCTGCTCATCCCATTTGCGGGCAATTCGAAAACCTACAGCAGCTGTGCGAAACTCAACCTGGACTTGCCCAATTGGACCATGGAATTGGAGGCGCGCAATGATACTACGCATTGCGATTTGGTAGGAGATTGATAGTTGATATATGCATATGTATGTGTTTATGTGTTTATGATCTCTTTCCAGTTCTTGCAGAAGCATGCGATACTCATCGACGTGGCCACACTTGGCGCCATGCCGGAACCTTTCGGCTTGCCCTTTCCGGAAATGCTCTACGTGCAGGCAAAGATTGCCAATCTAACGGTAATGTATATATATCTGCCTACGAAATTGCTTTGTATACTCGTTCACAAGGTGAAAGGGGTATATTGGCTCAGTCCAATGTCAGCTAGAAGCTTAAGCAATCAACTTCTGAATCAATCAGTCCCCGAATACATAGGCCATTTAGGGCGTAGCGATGGGTACCTTCTATCGGTATACCTTGTATTATTATCAGATATGTATTTGTCATGAGATGATTCCCCAAATCTATTATCCGCAATAAATTACATTTTCTGCTATTCCAGCGATATATTTAAGGAAATTAGGCTCGTTGGTATCCTGACTAATCGAATAAAACCATATCTTTAACTGTATTAGCGCAAGAGAAACGTAACAGATTGCGTATGTAATATATACGTTAACCTGTTGAGCCTCTAGGCCGTTGGGGGCGTGGTAAGACATTCTCTTTTCAGATATCTATCTTGCGGATCTCCAAGTATTGCACATGAATTACTGTTGACTTCCCCAATTTACAGTCTGTATTATGTTATACATAGTTTCTAGAAGCACTTATATTCGACTTCAAAGTTCTTATCCTTAATCATGATTATTTCTAATCAGATTTTCTCCTCTTCCACAGACGAGTGTTTTCCCTCAGTCCTTTTTGGAGGGCCGCAAGCTGTTTGCCTCGTTCCACACCAAACAGCGGCGCCTGGAGCTGCGTCGTCGTCAGTTTCGTGAGATGTACAAAAAATTACAGATCAAGCGCTTGGTAAGGCGCACCCACCGACTGGGCGGCAAGGCCGCGGCCCGTGAAGGCAATTGGCAGCCGCACAGCCCGGTGCTGGATGCACAGTTCTCGTACTCCAACTTTAGTCTGCCCGCCGTCACGGACATCGATCTGTTTGGTTGTGAGCGAACGACAAAGTCGTGCATTGGCACCGTCTACAACAGTCGCCCGTTCTACTACTATCTGGGCAAGCACACGCCGCCGTGTTGCCTGGACAAGCTAAAGACCACCTTCAACCACGTGCTCGAGGAGTTCGAGAATGTGGGCATACGCTACTGGCTGGACAACTACGCGCTCAAGAGCGCCATCGAGACGAATCAGCTGTCGCCGGATGCCTACGACATTGACATCAGCTTCAATGTCCAGGACCTGGAGCGCTCGAACGCCATGAAGAAGTCGCAGAGCAAGCCACATGTGGACAATGAGGGCTTCTACTGGATCAAGGCGACGGACGGACACTACTTCCGCGTGCAGTTCTCCAAGGTCAACCAGGTGGGCGTCAATCTGCTGCCCTACGAGATCAGTGGGAATGAGGTGCGAGCGAGCGGCTTCTTCGGCTGGAAGGCGACCACCTTCGCCTCCGACTACTTGCATCCCATGTCGACGGTGCTCTTTCTGGGCAAGAGCATCATGTGCCCCAACAATGTCTTGGAGTATCTCGAGGGAAAGAACATCAAGGTCAAATCTGATCATGTGGCCCCCGAGGAGGAGTAGATAGATAATCATTTACCTTAGCAGAAATTGCATTCAGTTTTTAGCATCAGTTGAATTTTTGTAAAAGTTGAACAACTTTCGACTATATGCACACTTCCTGTACTTGTACGATAAATGAGAGCGTTATTTTAAGGTATTTGTAAAATTGAGGTTATGTGTTCCTTTCTCTATACTTTTCTCTCTGTGTTGATAGCTAGTTCACGTCGATGTCTATATATATATATACATATAGGTATAGCTAAGTTAGTGAGTGAGCATGTAAATTTCTAAAGCCAAAGTTCTCGGAACTACCAGTCTATACAATAAAGAACTCTGTACTATTCGTACCAATTCAATATATGTTAACTTATCAAAATATAATACACTATCACACAAATACAAGTAGGCTCCATTAGCTCTAGGTGTTCACAGTGGTAGCGGCATCGGGTGCTTGAGCACCTTCCGGCAATTCGCGCACCAAGGATAACAACTTTTCCAGTTTGGCATTTTGCAGTGTTAGCTGATCGAGATAGAGCTGCTTCTTCGGCGGCTTGACCATGAGGCGGAGATTCGGTGAGAGCTTGAGCGAGGTGGTAACGCCCCTGGAAAGCGAAAAAGGAAAGGAGTATGTAAGCCAGGTAGAGCACTCTCTCACGGCTCATACTTACTTCTCGTCGCCCACAATGATGAAGGGCAGCTTCTCGTTGAAGGCCAGGCGAGTGAGTTTATTCTTTCTCTTCGGCACTACCGCCTGAACGCATATGGGCTGGTACTTATTCACGTTCAGATCGAAAACATGCACCTTGCCCTCGGTGGTAACAGCAGCGAACACGGTGCTGGAATACGGTGCCCACTTGACATCGCCCACGGCGGAGCCGAGGTCAAAGATGAATAGCGGATCAGGTCGCATATCCTCCCACACCTTAACGCGCCAATCCCCGCTGCAGGACACAAATATGTTCGAATCGAAGCGGTTGTAGTCGATGCGATAGACGGACATATTGTGCGCATCATAGGTCATCAGATACTTGGAGCTAAACAGCGTGCTGCACTTGTAGATCAAGCCGATCTCGGTGCCGACGAGAAAGACGGTTGTATTTGTCGGATGGAACTGAACGCAGGAGCCGCCGGTCCTGAGCAGCACCTTTGTGCCATCTGGCCCATCCGCGATGTCGTTCTCGATGTAGAGCGTAATTATGGTGGTCACCCACAGCTTATTCTGCATGAGAATCCAGCTGAACACACAGCCATCGGAGGATACCGAATAGAAGTTGATTTCGCCATCGGCCATGTCCGGACCCCACTTGATTTGCCACACGCACTCCGCGTGCTTACACTTAACGCCCCTGGACACATACATCGGCGCCTTGCAGCCATCGCGCAAATCGTAGACGCACACGTTGCCGTCGTAGAGGCCAAGCACCACGAGGAAGGGGTAGCTCGGATGGATGTCACAGCACATGACACCGCAGTCAGTTTGAACTAGAGTGATGAACGCAAGAGGAGATATAGAGATAGAGAGAGTGAGAGAGAGAGAGAGAAAATTGAGAGGGAGACAGAGAGATAGAGAAAGAGAAAAAAAAGAGACAGACAGAGAGAGAGATATAGAAGGAGATAGAGAGAGACAGACAGAGAGATAAAAGAATGGAGTGAGATAGAGGGAGGTAGATAGAGAAATATAGAGAGAGAGACAGAGAGTGTGATAGAATGATATACAGATGATATACAGATCGTGATAGAGGGAGGTGGATAGAGAGAGACAGAGAGTGTGATAGAGCGAATGAGATAGAGAGCGAGATAGAGGGAGGTAGAGACAGAGAGTATGATAGAGCGAATGAGATAGAGAGCGACATAGAGAGAGAAAGAGAGAGTGAGAGAGAGAGAGAGAGAGGGAGAAAAGGAAGAAGGGATAATAAAATATTAATAATTTATGTACCTAGACCTATACTCACTTATGTAATCTGGATAGGCTGGGTTCTTGACAGTAAACAGGCACAGATAGCCCTCATTATGTTGCTTTAGGAAATCATCTGCAAGAGAGAATTAGGCTATATTCGTACTTCAGATAATATCGAATCATCGGCTACTCACGTGAGCCATAGCAAACGGCGAAGAGATCGTAGTAGCTTGGGTTGAAGGTGAGCTCGGTGACATTCATCTTCTTGGTCTTCTCGTATTGGAATTTCCACAGCGGCAGCAGGTTGCCCTCGCCGTCGCGATACTCATCGGCTGGATCCTCCCAGTAGCGATAGTCGTTGCCGATGTCATCGAAGATGTTCTGGTTTATCATGCGCTCGAGTATCTGCCAGCATCGCATATACTTGCGATTCAGCTGCTCCGCGTAGGCGGTTTTCTTCTTGAAGTTCTGCTTGGCCGTGGGACGGCGGGCAGCCGCGGCGCCGGCCTTTTGCTGCTCCGCATAGTCCTCGTTGTAGCTGTCGTAGATGGTCCACTGCAGCACATTGGCCCCAAATTGCGAACGAGGCGGCGGAATGGTCTGGGTGTCCACATTCTATGGAAGATTCAGAGATTGAGATGAGGCGAGATGATGTGTGATGAGTGCTGCTCGCTACTTACACGCCTCGGATTGACATAGGTGAGCGTGGCTCGCTCACAGTAGTTGAACTGATTGATGAGCTTCTTCTTTTTGCCAGAGGCGGGTACTACTGGCCGTGCTCCAGTTTGCTCGTCGTCTTCGCCGGCCGCCTCGCCCTCCGTGGCCTGCTCACCCTCAGTTTTGCCCTCCTCATCCTCCTCCTCTTCGGCCTCTTCTTCTTCGCCAGCATCGGCTGCTGGCTTGGCACCGGCGTCGTCCTTTTCATCGTCCTCGCCTTCGCCTTCTTCTTCGCCCTCCATCACAGTCTCACGCTGCTCCACCACGGCATAGTTCGGCATGGGCAAAGGATAGCCGATTTCCTCACATTCCTCCACCTGGAAGCGCGCCTCCTCCGAGTCCACGTGCAGCGAATTGCCCGGAAAACTGATCAAGGTCACAGTATTGCCTGGTATCGGTGCCAGCACAAATTCACCCAATTTGAAGTTGTACACTACCAAATTGCGCAGCACATTCGTATTGGTGGGTGTCAACACCTTGGTCACCTCCTCGGCCAGCTCAGCGTCTGTCAGGTCCAATTGATCATCTGGCTTGACCAATTGGCGTGATTTCATCCAAGCATCGAAATCATCTGCATCACCACCGCCACCTTCCCCCTTGGCCTTGGATTGCCTATTCTGTATTTTGATTTCGAATAATACATATATAGTGGGTTATTAGATTCATAATTGGGGAGACAGTAAAGTCGATTGTGAATTGTGTGCTAATAATTTTGATAGTGCGCATCTGGGAGCAGAACCAACCGGTCAAAGACTTACCTTCCATTTGGATAGACCATTACGCTGCTAGGATACTATAGGGCAAATCAAACATCAATTGCTCGAACAAAATTGTGCACAGATTTGGAGCTATGTGATAAGTGAGAACGAGTCAAGTATAATGGCCCATAGCATGCATATTCACAAGTATCTGAAATTTACTCTTTCCAAAAGCCTAAGTCCAAGAGAAGTACAATGTTATATGGAACTGTCTTTAACCTTCATTACAAATTAAAGTAGTATCGGTTTGCATTTGATAGCACTTAATGGAATGTAAATAAATATTGGCTTAGGTTGCATTTGTGGATTGCAGAAAGAGGAATATCGATTGAACAATATAAGAGTTATCTTATAAGAGTTATCAATAAGAGTTATCTTTGAAGAATTAAAATTATTGGCTTGGGAAACATTAGTATATGTATTCCAGGAAAAGGAATATGGATTGAAGTAAAAAATGTAAAAACTTTTGGTTTGGGAAGCATATCTGTAATACAGAAACGGTAACACAATTAAATAAAATAGTAGTATCTTACAGTTAATATCCAACATTAAGTCAGAGAGTTAGCCGACTACTGCAGACCAAACTATACCCAAAACTTATGTGTAAAGTAGGCATATATTGACTACATAGCAAGTTGAATAACGGTATTCTATACATCTATATAATATGTGTTATAAATAAAGGCTATCTATTGTTATTATTATTATTATTATTATTATTAGTCTATTATTAGCATTAAGGTTGCTTGGCTAACTAGTATCAGGAAAGGGTATCTTTGTTCGGCAGACCGAATGCTAGGCACTTGTCGCTCTCTCAAATGGGCGGTGCTGGGTGGGTGGGTGACAGTTGCAGTTACCTCCTCGAGTAGCTGTTGCTCCGCCACAGTCAGCTCGTCCGTGCTAGCGCCACAGGCACCAGCCTCATCCTGCGCGACATCGATGTCTGACATATTTCTCTTTACTTTTTTGCGACTGTACAAGCTAAGGGTTAATGTTTCGAGTGCGGAACAGAGAGCGGGGGCAGACAGCTGGGGTTAGCTACTCATAGATGATATGCACTTATATACAGTAGACTTGACTGAATGACTAGATCTACATACAATTGAATTGGCGAAAATAAAATCTAGATTTGTATATACAGAGCTGCGGTTGTTGAACTATACATACATATATATCAGGAATTCGATTCTAAGATTGTATTTACATATTTGTTTGTGGCTTGTTGCTCAGACACTCATACACAGACACACACACACGTACTACTGAAGCAACTTGCGTTAGATCTAGTAGTAAGCTGCTCAGTTGCAGGTAGAGATACAGATACAGCTAGAGAGTTGCAGATACAGTTATAGTTACAGTTGCAGTTACAGATATTTTACGATTGGAAGTACTCATATACCGCCATAGCCTTATTCGCTAGCTTCCACATCTCGGAAATCTGTTTTATTTGATGGAGAGCACTGTGAAATGTTTCAAGCACGAGGCCTGAACCTCTTGAAGAGCGCAACACGACTGAGCCTAGGGGCCTAGGACCAGCTCGAGGTAGGCACTGTCAGCGGGCCCATTCTGATGACGTTCGCGAAAGTTTCAAAAAACTTCCGTCGCTGACGTCGACGGCACGTCATGGGCAAAGGATGCGCTTGGAGTCGAGAGGGTGCCGACATTTCCGGTAGGGCGCGTAAATAGTTATATACAAATAAGCGACTATGAGTTGCGACCTATTACGGCAATGCCCAGAGGCGTCGCTTGGAGTTACCTATTTACTTTTATGGCCCAAGTCATATCCATGTCTGATTTATTGACTCTTTTATTGCGTTTGGAGCTGGTAGGTGACGTTGATTACCATCGACACTCAATTGGCCAAGGCTCCGCAACATTTTTATATATAGTCTGAATAAAGTTGTATTTAGTTTTTGTGATCTACCCTCTGTCTGAAAGCTGGCAGCGCCATCTCTTTTGTGAGCACGCACACGACAGCCCAGTCCAGCCCAGCACATGCTGCTGCTCATCCCCCAGCTCTGTCCTGGTCGAGCTGCGCCGCCTTGGGCACATTGCAAATTATGTTTCGTGACAAACTTCCATCAGAGCGCCAATAACTTTCGCTCAGCTACGTTCCAGCCAACTTATTAAAAAGTAATCGCAAATTTTTAAATACGAAAATAGAATCATGTAACGAAGGACGACCGAGAATGCGCCATCTACCCAAGGCGCAATCACACCGTTGACAGCTCCCAAAGTGTTCGCATGTGCTCAGAGCTCGCTGCTCAGAATTGTGAAATTGTGGAATTGTGCAAGTGCTCTACCCAAAATTCTCAGCATTGTGTGGATTCTTGCTGTCAAATTATAATATTGGAGTAATCGCTCACCTTCTTCTTGTTCTCCTTGGCCTTTGCGCTTTGCATGTTGTGGCCGTATCCTTATCGGTGAACCAAGTTCCTTAACTAAATATGTCTTACTTTGTTCGTTTTGCTGTTTTGTTGTACCCACAGTGAAGCCTGTAAACCTTTTCCTAACATTAACTGAACCAATTTATGTTTTTCACAGTCTAAACTTTACGTAATTGTGAAATAGAACAATGGAATTCGACGCTTGCTTTGCCTTTCATTCCTTGCCTTGTTTACTCGAGTTACTATAGAAATCCCGAGCTCCCACGCATCGGCTGCCATTTGCATATTGATTTGCCAACCGCCCAGATATCGCGACTGTCAACGACCTGGTACTGAGCAAGGTGGCTTTAGTGGCATCTACCTCATTCACAATGAACAATTAGAAGTATCGGAGGGACATTAGCGTAATTGAAGGATTCGTGTGTATATATAGAAAATTATATACATATTTATAAAACCTTGGTAGGTTAGTAAAACTCTCAATGAAACCCTACAAATCTTTCATTTAAGAAAAACTCTGGCTTCGCATTATCATAAATGACCAGAAAAATTTCTGTGAATTTTTATAATATAGTTTCTATAAGTAAAGAAAATATATACATATATATTGACATAAAATATTGCGTTTTATGTAATGTCCATCGGATTAATTTCTAAATCTGTTCATATAATATGAATTCTACTGATCTCTTGATAAGCTCTGTTAATGAAAAATTACTCAGCAATTCTGATTATTAAGTTTTCGCAGAATTGTAGAATTATTCGTACTGCGAAATTTCATTTTTTGCTCAATATAAAACCTCTATGAATCAAGAAACGTATAAAACTATATTCTATACATATATATTGCGTTGATATTTAAAAATGATTAAAATGTAGTCAATTGCTAATCACTTTTAAAATGGGAATTCATAGGGCTAATGGTAATGATGATAGCTGTAAGGTTCGTTACAATAATAAGAGTTTGTACTAAATGTTTGATGGATCCGGAGAACAAGGAATGAATCTTGAGAGGGACTAAGGAAAGAACTGCAATCCAATATTTTAAAAATAATTTTGTATAAAGTCTTACAAATAGTATAATTACTACAGTAATTTCTATACTGAAGCATCTGAAGAATATATAATGTAACTATACTTAAACCGCAAAGTTGATTTATCAATGTAAAAATATAGTTTAAATAGCTATATATGTAGCTATGTAGTACTTCATGAACTTAAACTTACGGCATGATTTCCTATAACAAACGCAAAAGTACAATCAGAATTGCTCATAATAACAAAAGCTATATAAGACTGCACTCAGCTACTCACCTTACACACTCATTCCTAAAACACTTGAACAGTACCATGAGTGTTTATCCGTAGTGCCCATAGAATGCGTATACGAAGTCAGCTCTAGAGTGCAATGCACTCTCAAGTCTCACTGCGAACGTATGAATACATTTTTAATGTCTGGCTTCAAGGCCAATGGGCGATGCCTCGACTAGATCGAAGAGCTGAAACCTTGTAGACGAGATTGAAAGGCCTGAATATTCCACATGAATATAATTTTATTGTGTCTATACGAGTACATCAGTAGTATCAATATCAGTATAATATATAAAATATGCGCAATGTATATATTCTATGTACTGCTTACATATATGTATATGTGTGTATATTTATATTTGACAATTAAGTTAGGTGTATAAGACCTAGGTTTGCTGCCTCAAGCTCTTCACATATCGCACTGGCACTTCAGGTAAATAAACACAGACAAAGAACATCATCGGCCCAAATAAGAACATGCAGATCAGCCAATATATCAAGCCAATAACAGTTAATGCATCCATATATAGGTTAGAGAGAGGCCAGTCTCGATCAGACAATTATCAAATATAATTACAGATTACGAAATAACGAATTACGAATTACAAATAAATAGCTAATATCACTAAACATCGGTTATGGAGATTGTGCAACAGGACAAAACACGTCTGTCACAGCGCCGATGTTTCTAATTTTAGATGAAATCAAAAACCGCTGCAGGTAACTTTAGACTAATATGGCTTCGCTTGCTGCTGGAATATCGTCTTTAAGCCCGCCACCTGAAAAGCAAAATAAAGATCATTAGTTATGAATGATATAAGGGGCAATGGAATTATATATAGAGTATAAACGGGCTGGGGTCAACTCAGGGCAGTAATGATATGAAGAGTAATAGAGATGAAACTATTCTAATCTTAATGAATCATGGTTAGTTCCATATCGAAGCTTACGCGCTGCTACTAATCCTGCCCGTTGGCCAGTTGAAACTGTTTCACTGCGCTGCTGAATCACGCACTTTATACTTGACTTCAGATCAGCTGGGGTTATTTTCGGATATTTAACAGCTTCCAGCCTTAAAATAATTTTAGCGAGCAGAAAAAAACCCGCCCAACTGAGGCTTGGCGCTGTTAATTCGTGACTGAATTGGAAATCAGAACAACGTAATCCCCCAAAGCGAGTTTTCCTCTCTCTCTGTCTCTATCTCTCTATTTCAACACAAATCTCTGCCTCTCTCTTTAGACAATAAGCTCTAACACTCAAAGCTTTTGTTTTGCTTCTGATTTGGAATTGTTTGTGACGAAAGTTGGTTTTATAACGAGATACTGGTATTTTTCAAGGCAGTGACAGTGATTCGTTCGTAAAACTGGTTTACGTACTGAGTACCAACTGGAGAACGTTTGAGAACCAATTTAAATGTTAAATAATATTCGCAAAAATTTTGTACACTGCTCACAAAAATTTGAACTTCCATAGCCAAAATTATGATCCAGAGATTACAGTGCAATTTATACATATATAGCTCTGATAAGGGAATCGAAAAGAAATTTATGAGTCAAGTGTGTTGACAGTCTTCAGTGCTGATTGGAAAAAGTCAAGATAGGTTGTACCTAATCTATTGCCACCTCTCATTATTATGTTACTGTTATTTTTATTATACCTGATATTCATATATTCATATTCATATTCATAAATGTATTTATAATTTTATTTCCACGATCTATAGGACTTGTTCTGATTACGTTTGTATCTTTGCCTCTGATAGCTCTTCTAACATTAGCCAGTATTATTTTGATTATATCTGATTTAGATTAAATTTATATTATTATTATCATTCTTTCGTATATCCACTGGCATAAGCCTAAACCAATTCTATGGCTTGATATTTGCTTTTAAATTTCCAACAATTCCCAGTATTATTTTCATTACATATTGCGTATATAATGGGGAAGTAAATATCAACAATGTTTCATTTGGCATTGCAGAAGTTACTAAAAAAATGTAATACCGATTTTTCTCAATCTAGACATGAATAGATAGAACTAATTAGTGCCTTTACTAAATTTGTTTCATTATTCAGTATTTTATTTTAGAACAAGAAGAATAGTCAAAATTATGAACCCAAAATTAGATTCATTATATTCTATAGTACTCCCTTAAATTCTGTAATTTCTTAGACTTTCCTGTTTTTTTATTTTTACATTCAAGCAAAATTAAAATTTCATATCTGCATACCAGATTTTATTTTTACGTTTTTTCGATTTTAATAAAATTTAGACAAATAGATTTGATTTTTATACAAGTAATTCAAATTATTCTTAAATTTGCAATTCCCACGGCTAGTATAATAAATAAATATAGAACCCTTGCCAATTATTTATATGATGTTCTATATAAAACAGATATTATTCGATTTGTACTTACATTATGTAGAAATAACTATCACTGTCCTTGCGTTTAGCATCGCCGCGATTCGTGTCTCTCCTAGCTTGGTTCACTGAACCGGGATCCGAATGCGCCTGCATATTGCCATTCCAGGTTGCCCACCGACTTAAGACGCCATTTTGCTGATTGTTCAGATTGTTTTCTTTGTTGGGATTGACAAAAAACGACTTGACGCTATCCATGGTCGTTCCAATTAATATGTGATACGAAAAGTGGGCAGAGACAGCGAGTGTGTGCGTAGATATGTCGAGCCTCCAAGACGAAAACAAATTGATAAAGCTAAAAATATATCAGATGTGTTGTTTTTTCTGAATACGAGTTTTTTCTTTGGTGTGTCGTCAAGTCGAATATGAAGGCACATAAAAATACATTTTTAAATACATAAAAAATTGTTGTTTTCTGTTCGCGTCTAAATGGGCTACTTGCTTTTTATTTTATTTTTTATGATAATGCTGATAATCGTACGATTTCATTTCATTTATTTCAATTTTTTGAGGAAGCTTTCGGGAACATTCCGTAACAAGTACGGGCTTTTAATGATCGTAAAATGATACATTTATTAAATGCTGTTTTTATCTTGTCAAACAAAATTATACAGATTAGAAATGCAACGAGAGTATTTTGAATTAGTATAATTTTGATAATTGCGTCTTAGATTCCATATAGTTAATTTTTATCAAGATTAACGCGGTATATATGTACATATTATCAATTAGCACTTGGACACTTAACAAGTTCATAACAGTTCAGTTCGCACCACTGATAAGCCACTGTGAGCAGCGAGCACGCGTCGCATTCAACAGCAATTTGATTTGTTATTAATAAAACGAATAAAACTGAACAACGTGGCATGATAAGCAGGTCCTAGGACGAGGCCAAATGGCGCTACTTCTGCCACAGCTGATAGCCCCATGCAGCCTTGAAGACGGCATTCTGTTACTGGGCCACTATTCGCTAGACGCGCGACCTACCTCAAGCTGCTGTAATTCGCTCAGCTATTTGCGCGTCGACTGGTTCAGCTGGTGGCGGGGTATAACGCCCTCCGCAATGCTTTCAAATTGGTCTGACACAATTCCTTCGGCTAGTCGCGCACTTCCAATTCAAATTTGACTTCCAATTCCAGCGTTCAGCGTTCCAGGTTTAGCTTTTTGTGTTTAGCGTTCGGCTGCCTCTGTGAACCGTTTTGCACAATGTCTGCGATCGCACTGAACGCTCCAACGACGCGACGCGCTGCCTGATGGCCGATGGCCGATGGCCGATGCCGATGCCGATGTCGCAGCCGATGCCGATGCCGATGCCGGGTGCTACGTAGCTACGTAGTTTTAATCAATTGCGAAGGCGTCACAAACACAACATTGAATATGCATGTTCACATACATATGTATATGAATTTGTTCGCATGTGTGTGTACTACTTATGTACATACGTGTGAGTGTATACCGTCACAGCGATTACATTATGTCTTACTGCACATGGATTTCTTTGGCTTTGCTGCCGACATCTGGCCGCGTAGTTGTTGTTGCTGCAGTTGGTTTTGTTTTCACTGCCTTTCGTATATCTACCCTGGTCGAGGCAGTTTTTCTGGTTTGTTTTGATCATTGCTTCTCACTTTTACACATATGTACGTATGTACATATGTGTGTAAACACTTACTCTATTTACACTTCCATAAAATCACATGCACATGTATAACTGCAACAGTTTTTAATGGGAAACTCATTAAGTTAAATGTTTATATTTGCAGTAAAGAGTTTATTTTGAGAACAACCAAATAACGAAGGTACTCTCAATGGCACTTAAGCACACACATGCATGCGTACACATACATGTATACATAATGTGTTATATGGTAAACGTGTTACACAGCTTATAAAGAAACGCCGTTGGTTTAGCAACTGCAGCAATCGAATATTGTTATACAGTATAACAAGTAAGGCAGGCCCTGTGCATAGCTACATTTAAATATGCTCGCTTTTGTTAAAATATACAATATAAACTATATGCATATAGACATTGCAATTCTTTGTCTATACAATAATCAGATATATTTACATATGTATATATAACCATATAGTATACCTGTATACCTGTCAGACAACCAACCTTTGTATTTTGCCCCCAACTTCCGTACTGCAAGTGTCTTTCTAGCCTCTTCTATTTATTGTGGTCCGGCGTTCCGCGTGTCGTTGATAAGCCGAATGCTTTTGTATGACACAAATGGCTGCAGCTAATCGTAGATTGCTTGGACTTTGTACTTTACACACATTTTCTCAGACGAACTCTCGCATACACACGCGCAAATCTCTACGTTGATGAACGTTTATCAATATGCATAGAAATAAATAATTGATGCGAATAATTTTGTGTAACTATGCAAATGGACTGTGTGTTGTGTGTAAACAGCTACAAAATAAAGCTGTTTCAAGTGTATCTCAACTGTTTGCTCTGATCTCATTTGAGTGCTATTGACTATTGGGTACCTTTGAAGTGCCTTTTCACTCATGCGTAGATACATCTGTGTATGTACATTGTGTATACATACATACATACATACATATATACGTATATATACATTTGTGAGTTTATTTTCTAATATTGACTGTCATGTGTATGGTACGTACATACATATGTACATATATAAGCATAAATGTGTGTAAATTATTTCTGAGACAGGCATATACATATGTACATGCATATTTATGTACGTGATCACCTATACTATATGCATACATTTACCTGAGCACTTCAAGCTAAAAACTTGAACCTAATTCAACCCAAAACTAAGTTTCTCAACTCAAATAATTTCCGTCTTTGAAATGCCCTTCAAAGCAGTTAACTAACTTCCTAATATATAGATACACACATATGTATATATACTATCTATATAGGTATTTATTATATATTTTTTATTGGTTTGGCAACGAAAAATAATTTGAAAAAAATTAAAAAAATAGTTGCATACTTTTCAGCTGAACCAGAAATTTTCCAAGAATCCAGTGAACAAATTTAAAAGCATACTTCACTATTACTCATATCTACTTATAAATAAATAACCTATTGCACATTTAAACTATCAATAAAAATCAACTCTAATGTATGTCATAAACAATTAGCTTTCTATTTATGTATTACATTACAATGTTCGCATTTCTTTTTTACAAATGCTGCAAACGATTTTACAAGTTGCCGGAGCTCCGATGCCAACTCTGTGGTAGACCGTTGCCGCCTCTTCGGCCATCATCCTGCTCCTGCTTCTGGCCAGGGCTCTGTTGTGGATCTGGCTGCGGCTTGGCGTTTGCGATTCCACACAACAGCAAAGCAGAAAGCTAAGTGGCACCGCCTCACCCTCCTCCAGAGTCTGGGGCAGGTTCCTGCCACGCGTCTCTGGCAGGAAGAGACTGGCAAAGCCGCCGACAATCAACAAGGCGCCCATCACAATCAGCGGCAGCACCAACATCTGCTGGCCCTGCAAGCAGATGGAAGTCATTTTGGGAGGAATAACTATGAGTACCCTAAGATCTCACCATGTGGTTGATTATTGGAATGAATATGGGACCCGTCATGGCCACCACCGAGCTGAAGCTCATGCCCAGGCCACGCACCACGGTCGGATATAGCTCGGAGGCGAGCAGCGGCAGCACGACAAACGCCGACGAGATGCCCATCTTGCCAATGCAGTAGAGCAGCAGCATCACCTCCGCCTGCTGCTGGTAGAGCACGGTGGCCACACAGGCCACGCCTCCAACTAGCATCGAAATGAAGAGAATCCAGCGGCGTCCAAAGTAACTCAAGCCCGGCCACAGCAGCAGGTACGTGGGCAGCTCCACTGCGCCAGCCAAAAAGAAATTCCAGATCTCGTCGCCACCCAGCGCCGGGGCATAGTAGCTGAGACCCACATAGACGCTGGTGTTGGCGAACCAGATCAGGGTCACAATCAGAGTCTTGCGCCGCATGTTCGTGCCCCGGAACAGATCCAAGATGCCGTAGTGCGTCGTCTCTGCTGGCTGTGTGCGGACCAGGCGCTGCTGCATCCGCTCCACAAAGTCTCGGGACACGTGAACGCCGTTGACACGCGCCATGACCTTGAGGATGCGCACGGCCCGCTTCGTCTGACCCACGGCGATGAGCCAACGCGGCGACTCGGGCAGCACAAAGAAGCAGGAGAAGAGCATCAGTAACGGCAGCGATACGGCCAGAGTCAGATAGCGCCAGTCGCGCACCAAGTAGACCACGCCCTGAATTCAATTTAAATTTTATTTGCTATATATCAAATATATTCTGTAGGCGCTTCCACTTACTGAGAGCAGCACCAGTCCCAGGGAGTAGGCAATGTTGGAGACGATTGTGCAGAAGACGCGCCGATCCGGACCCACCAGCTCGATGGCCAGCACGTAGGGGCTGGCCAAGATGGCGGGCACAGTGAGCCCCACGACGAAGCGCAGACCCAGCCAGGAGTAGTAGTTCCAGGCAAAGGCGCTGGCAGCACACGCCACTATCTCGAGTAGCAGATAGGCGTAAAAGGAGGGACGTCGACCCCACAGATCTACCAAATAGCCAAACACATAGTTGCCAATCAAGCCGCCCAGGCCAAAGAGCACCAGTGCCAGGGTGACATAGTAGCTACTGCTACAGACCAGATTCCACTGAAAGGAATATATGTATGTAGAATCAGTTTATGCTGGAATCGAGTCTTACCTCTTGCACCACAGTGCTGGGATACATGGATCTGTCGTAGTGCCAGCCGTGCTGACAGGCCACAATGGACTCCTGGTCTACCTTCAGCAGCCGAGACGACTGTTCCCTCTGCAGTTCGTATGGCGTGCGGTACTCTAGATAGCGCACCTTTAGGAGAGAGAGAGAGAGACAGAATATATATTAAATGGTAACTGTAAATTGTACATTTTAAATGTTTGTTAAAGTTGGTATAACAATTCTTTTCTGGTGAAACTAACTGCTTCTGCACTGCTTGCTCTCAGCATATTCCGCACTGCTTTATGTTTGTGGCATGCATATGACAGTTGTAGCACAGTTAATGAGAATAGTATAACTGCTTTAAATGATAACGAAATCTTTTTTAAATTTTAACTAAATTAATTATTTCAATTGAATTTAATTAATTATTTAAATTATATTTAAATGTTAATTAGTTAGGCCAATTTTTTAAATTTAATTATTTATTGAATTCATATTTATATATTGTGCTTAGTATAATACAAACTAATAATACAATTTTATTTTTCGTAAAATATTATTATTCATTTAATTTTATTTAATAGGTATTGAAAAAAAGTAAACGAAGTACGAGTGATGTATTTGGTAAAATAATTATTAAAAAACTACTAAATAAAAATAATAATAATTTAAAAAAAAAAATACGATA